CAGGATGTTCAAATTTTTAAAAATAATCAATTTTTTATTCATATCATAAACACTCTGACCGATTTTGATGAAACTTGGCAGATTCATTTATTGTAGTAAGAGACTAATTTTGAATTAATTATATCTAAATAATTAATTTCAGTGGCGTTCCCAAATGCAACTTAATTGATATTATTGAAAAAAAAAGTACGTCATTGACTTTTTCATATTTTTCCTTCCCTATTCAAATTCGCCAATTACAAACAGATCTTTTTTGTTTTTAAACTTTTCTATTTTTTGTGTTTTATCGAGATAAAAAATAAAACTGTATTGCACGCCAATGACGGGTCTTCGATCCAAAAAATATTATGACTTAAAATTTTCTGACAATTTGCATAACTTATGCTGATAATCGCAATAAAAGTAATTTTTCTTAAACGTTCGCTTCATATTCCTCATCACATATTCGAGAATGCACGGAAAAAAAATTGTAGAACAAATTTCTACAATTATACATTTTTTCTCTACAATAAATAGTACATATAGGGCCACGGACAATTTGTAGTAAACATTTCCAAATATTTGTAGAGAATGTATTGTAGAGTTATTATCTACAATATGTAGTAAAAATATCCAAATGCATCATAAGAATTGTTCTACAAATTGTTATAATATTTGCTATTCATTGTATGAATTTATATTAAAAATCTATTGCGTTTCATGAAAATTAATACGAAAATTTTACACAAAAAATAGTAAAAATTCATACAAATTGTAGTAATTTTTAATAAAATTTGTAGTAGTATTCCATACTTATTATAATTATAACCTAGAAAAAATATTCCTTAATTAAACATTTAAAATGTAATATTTTATTATAAAAGATACAAAGTCTTAATTACTTTATGTAATAATAGCTCCTTCAGTCTCAGTTGGTTTTTCTGCACCTGCACCTGAAAAATTAAATAAAAATTAATACCTATTGAACTGTTCATACCCTTAAAACGGGGATATTTATCACCTTTACACTGATTGGGATATTAAATGACTACGTCAGATAACTAACAAAAATGAGAAAGTAGGTATGTCACAATTAAGACAAAAAAACATCATTGAACTTGGCATAACATTCGATCGTTGGCCACAACTATATTTTTTAAAATAATCTACTAAGGTCATTTAAATTAGTTATCTAAAGGTAAGTTATTCAGAAACAATAATAAATGTACTTACCACTAATAGAAGTGATTATTAAACTTTTCTCAAACGCATCGGTGCTTATAATATAATAATGTGTTATATATGTACCATGCTTTGTTTTGTGAACATGGCGAACGGCTACTGCTGTCTGACCATTTATGGTCGACGTCAGAAAACGTTGGCCAATAGCAGAATTCTGTTTTATTCACATGACTTAGAATTTCTACAATATTATAGAATATTTTTGAAAAAAATTGAATTTTTTCATAAGAAGGGGTGTAAAGTATTAATATTTTTTGTAGAGAAAATTACTATTTTTTGTAGAGATAATTGCGATAATTGTAAAAAAATTCTACTTCTACAAACAATAGTAAAATATACTAAACATTGTGGTCTTTTTTCCTATTGTTGTAGCATTTTATTCGACAATTCATTTGCTACAATAATGAATAGTATTTAACCATAAATTGTAGTAAAATTTTCTAGCCACATTTTTTTCCGTGTGGGAGTCCAGGGCCTGCACAAAATATTAAACTACACAAAATGTCAAGTGGGCCATGCAAACAAATTATAGCGTTCCCAAAAAATCAGATATATACCAAATTTCATCAAAATCATCAAAAGAGTATTTATGATGTTGATGAAAAACTGATTATTTTTGAAAATTTGGACACCCTGTATCTTCGAAACTAAGCAATTTAGGACACATATTTATATGAACTTTAAGTCATAATATGAGCCAAGGAATTACCTCAAGTATGACATGATGTTACGAAAACACTTGTATAATAAAATTCAGTTTCGCACTGACGTCCACAACCTTAACATACGTTTTAAATCTAGACTCACGCCGCCTTTAAACAAAACAACCTTACATTAAGAATCCTTTTCATATTATATTTCCTGGCTTCTAAATGACTACCGCTTATCCACTTTAAATTTTATGTTATTAAATTGAAACATACATTAAAAAAAAATTAAATAGCACACTGCTCATTAGCATTAAATAATACGATAGCTTAATATTTTTATTATATGTGTTTTTCCTTTCTCTCATTAGCAATTTCTCACCTAATATAATTTGTTTCTTTTATAGTTTTGTTTTTGTTGTACTACGTAAAGTTGTAACACCGTAGTTAAAAATTTATATGAATTTTAGTTTAATACTTATTATTATAGATATAATTTTGGTATTAGTTGTTCTATTTTTCATAAAGTTATAGAGGTTGAGTGGAGGAGCAGCTTTTATGTTTGCTTATGCAAATCTGAAAGCTGAACTCTGCCTTTTGGCAAATTATTTTTAATAAATTGTACTTCTATTTTGTAATTATGCCAATAAAATCATATTTATTAATTATTATGATTCTTTGTTATTAATAGATAATTGTTTTTTAAAAAGAGTTTATAGCAGCATCAGTTACTTCTTACCGAAAACGGTACACAGTATCGAATTCCAAGAGTACCTTTTTGGTGTAAAATTGAATGGTGTTTCAGTTCATATAAAATTTGGACTAGAAAATTTAACCTCAAAACAATCAGTAAAATTTTAAAACTCCGGCTATTGTTAAAGGGCTTTATAGCACATTCTATTAAGCTTACTGTTTTAGATTTGAGCTGTATTGTTTTTTGCCATGCACATTTTTTTAAAACCTACAATGTGTCAATATTACCGTCCACTCGGGTAACATTGACACTTCTGTAAATATCGCTTAACATTCAGTGTTTACTAGGTATAGGCTAATATTGATACAAATTTTTTTAACTCCTTTTATTAACTTTCCTTTTTTTCAAAAATACATTTAAAAAATTAAAAGGAAACTAATTTAAAGGTAAATCATTAAATGTAACGAAGAAATACATTTTATAAAGGTAAAATAACAAAACACAGCAAATTAAATTTTGTTCCTACAAAAATAGCGTAGTTTAGGCGAAAACTGGTATTTCCATCTTTACATAAAAAAGGCCGAGTTAGCCAGAATTACAAAATAGTGAGATTCGGATTTTCTTGTCCAGAGTTAACACTGAAATTCGTCAAAAACATATGCATGCCCCGCCTAATGGTAGGAAAGGGAGAAACTTAACAAAATGTTTAAGTGAAACTCTCGTTTCGATAGGAACATTCAGATACACAAACGACTTCTCCTGTTTTCTTAAAAATGATATTTTAAAATTTGATCTTCTGGATTAATTTCTAAAAATTTTCCAATAGAGTGGTAAATATTTGTTTTTGCTCGTTTAATTTGAACCTTAAATTAAAATAAAACCCAATATCCTGCTTCTAAGGGTCTTGACTTATTCTCTTGTAGTTCCACTGCACTTGTTCCACACTGGTCGTTTTTCTCTTTTTTATCAAATAGTTCTTGATTTTCTTCTTCCAGAAAAGGATTCCTATCTAAGTCATCGTCGAAATTTGAGCTTACTTTGCTTCCCGAGCTACTTTCACCTTTATTTTGTTTCTTTTTTTGTTTTATTTTTATTGGTGGTTTTTAAGGCCCTTGCTTCAGTTTCCATTTTCATTCTGTTGAGAACTTCGCCACTGGTCAAACTTCCAGCAAATTTATTATCCTATTGCGTATTAAAGTTTTAGTATTTTTCCCTGTCGTGTTATATAAGCTAGAATTGTTAACTCAAAGTTGGTTTTAGGATATGCAGAAACTCTTATAGGTGTAGATTCCTTCTCTGTTCCACGATCTTTGTTTCGCAAGTTACGCGGCAATTCAAGGTTAGCACCAGATGAGCTGGAAGTAACAAATTCTTCTTGATGTTGCTTTACATTTTATGAAACAGAAAACAACTTGGATGTGTTACATTTCCTTAATATTTTTTCTTTATTTAATGGAAAAATTCCAGCGCCTTCAAATCCTCCAATTGCATTAGCTCTTGAAAAACATCCTGTGTCAACCAACTTTTTTAAGAGAGAGGGAAGTACTATTAAGTCCACGTTTCTGTAGCTTGTTTCTTGATAGTATTCTTTTAAGACATTTTTCCAGGAACTTTTTACGCTTTTAAACACCCGAATATCTAGCAGTTGTAGAGCATGAGAAGTGTGTGCCGGTAAGCAAAGAAGTTTAATATTATTTGTAATACTCTATCAACGGAACGGTAAGATGTGAATTATGGCTATCAAATACTAATAGTTTTGTACCCTCCAGATTTGCAGTCTCTTTAACAAAGACGTTTTCAAACCAGTTATTAAATTGAGAAGACTCCATCCAGCCGGATAGTGAGCAGTTGTAAACTATGCTCTCGGGACCATTCTGACCCAATTTGAACAAATATGCAAACCTTTGTAGATAACATAAAATGGAAGGTATTCTCCAATAGCATTACATGAAACAAGAACTGTTTAAGTTGATTTAGTTATACTAGTTCTTTCAATTGGTGCAAGAAGGAGGCGGCATCTAACTGTAAAAATGGTTACAGCATGTCTAATTTTGGACTTACCTCTACGTTAGTTTGGTATCAGAAAGCGGTAGCTCCTGCAGCTGCTACTTTCTTGCACCAAACAAGCAGTTAAAACCGTTTTGACAGCAGCACTTCACCTAACCTAAAAGTCATCTGGCAGGTGGGACATGGGTAGTTTTCAGACCATAATTTCACAGTGAATAATTATTTATCATTTGTTATAAATTATTAGTTTAAAAATATAAGTGACACAACTGAAATTGATGAGCCATTTAGCAGTGGATCAAGTGATGATTACGTCCCAGAAAGTGAAAGCAGTGACGAAAATGATGACAGAAAATGCACCTAGAACTGGAATTAAAAAGAATAGACGAGTCGTGGATAGTTCACAGTGGCAGAGAAATAAACGCAAAAGTATGTTTGCTAAGGGCAAGAAGCATTTAAATAGTGATAAAAAAATAAAGAAGGCTCGGAAGCCAGGAAACAACTGCAAATACAACTACAAGTGTTTTGAAAGGGTAACAGAAAAAGACAGAGCATGTATACTCAAAAAGTTCAATGAAATTGGTGATAAAATCCTACAAGACACGTATCTTTCGGGTTTAATTTTAGTATTTTCTGTATCCAGAGTACAGACAAAGGATGGCAGCGGTCATTCAAGGACAGTCAGCAACAAGTATAGTTTCATAAAACCTTTTTCTTTTTTGTTTTTATATTTATTCTGCATTTTACTTTTATTTACAGGTGCGCCTTGGTAAATATGCAAATAAAGTATGCAAAAAGGCTTTTGTGCTTTGCATGGCATTTCAACAAAAAGAGTGGAACGCCTAGCGATGTGCTTAAAACAGAAGATAAATTTTTTTTTTCAACAAAATATAAAATCTTTATCTATAAAGCCCATATGGATAAAATACAGTGTAGCGAAACTACAAATTTTCCAGTTTATTTTAATTTCAACATACAGCGTTATAATTTTCAGTTTCAAATGCCATCAAATCTGTATCAATTCAAACTAAAACTAAAGAAAGCCAAATATTCCAACATTATGCAGTTGGCTAAGGAATATGTTCCACAGGTTGATATGGTATATTATAATTCATTGAATGTTTCTGAATATCCAGCCAATGGTAACGATACAGACATGACGGATGAGGATATTGGAGATTAAAACAATAATTAATGTTGTGTATTTTATTTACAATAAATGCAAGAAGCAAATAACTTGTGTACTTTTTTTGTTGTTGGTGGCAACTTATAAATAATAATATTTGGGTAACTAAAAATTAAAATTTTCCTTGGTAAATGAAACTCAAGGACTTTCACAAAGCATGTATGGAAAAGACAACCAGAAAAAGAAAGCAATTTTCACGCAAAATAGTTTTTCTTAATTTCTCAACAATTTTGATTGCAGCAGGCTCCTCAATTACAGAAAAATTTTGTATTAGAAATTGTTGCACCCTCAAATAACACATGGTAAACAATCGAAAAATGTCGCGTAAAGCATCTGACTACTGAGTTGTTGCCGCCACGTCGAGATGGCAGTACTCTGTTAGGAATTTTAAAACAATCAGACATGAATAATTTTATTGTCTATCCAACTAAAGCGCGAAATTTAAAAATGTGTCAATGTTTACTGTCTGTCAATCTTATACATCGTTACTTTACTGTGTATCTTGAAAATGGATGCCATTACGAACATTTTTTACTACATAAACTCAATTTATTTTGCAGTATTCTACGTATCCTCGCAACGAGCCCACCTTTTTTTTTGGAAACTCCCTGTATATTTTTTTTTATTTTAAATATAGATACTAATAATTTAGGACAAAAGTTCTTGCTTAGGTTATTTGTAAATTTTATTAAAACACAGACAATAGAATAATTTATAAATTGCAAAAAAATACTCTTATAAACAGCACGAGAACGTTTACTGGAATATATATTTCCCACTTTTAGAGGCGATTAACGCTCTTGCATGTAACATGTTTAACGGATCTCCGCGAAACATATCAGACACAATGTATCATTACGCACTTGAGCAAAATAATTACCAAAGATCTTTAATCTAATAAAACCCTTGTGGGAAATATAGCTACTAGAACCCTACAAAGGTTTAATTGAAAAATATGTTTAACTTTATTTAACCAAATACCTACATTTGTTTACCAATTCTAAAATAATGATAATTATCTTTATATTTTTTTAATAGGAATTGCATGGACACTCTCAAATGCGACCATACTTGCTCCCAAGGGAACTATCGGAAAGCTGACTATGGAAGCACCCCCGGTTACAGATTAAAGGAATCTTACTCGCAGTATGACTGTCGGTTTGGAGAATGTAATTATTTTAAATTTACTTGTAAACATTGCCCTAGCCCTTACGAAAGGGATTTTAGTATTTACACTGTAAGAAAAGACTGTTTTAATTGCTATACTAAGTAGTTGTGCATTATTCAATAGGATATTTAAAAGAAATTAAAATTTTATTTATTTATTTATTTATTTTTAGTAATTTGCCTTTCAGAACGGTAAATAATGAAAAAAATCTATTAAACTCTTTTATTTACTAATCTAATTTTATTTAAATTTTTGTGATAATTTTAATGTGAACATTCAAAATTTTTTGTATACAACTTTTATTTTCTATGTTAGAAAAAAAATTTATTAAAATAGTTTTACATGTAATTTTTTGTTTGAATTAATTATTTCATATAATTTATATTTTTAGATTTCTTTGGCTTATAGACCTGTAAGTTCTTCTTTTATACATAATCTAATAAATCGATATATTTTAGAAAATAGTATGTTGTTTTTTGAGTGACGAAAAACTATATTTGACAAACGTTAATAAATGCTTTATTTTGTATCAGAAGCAACCAAGAAGTGTAAGGATGTGTTAGTGCCACATTTATGCGAAATCTTAAGAACTTGCCTTGCCAAAAAATATATCCTAGTAACATAGTAAAGCGCGAAAGTAATCTACCTTAACAAAGTAGGTAAAGTCACAGATTAAACGCCAAAGTCATATTGTCCTATTAACATTTTCCTTCTTACTAAAAATGGTAGACAGATTTATAGCTATATCAACTAAACCAGCGCTGGATGGTCTAAACAGGCTACTTTCAAAATTAATAAATCATGATGAAATCGTAATCTCCAGCCACTTTCTTAGACATGGAAGTAGATTTTAATAATGTAGCAACCAAGTCAATTACGAAGGCTCTAAACTAGCAAAATATCTCAGTAACAATATGCCAGTAGAGAATAAAATCATTTAGTATACTCTAGGAAACGCGACTATAGAGACACCAGTTACATGGGCTATCCTACAAGGAGAAATCTTATTTACATTCCAAATATTATCCATATCTCAAAGTGGTCCGAAGTAGATTAAAGAGAAGTAAAAGGCTCAAAGTCTGTCGACCACATAAATTTATTAGGTTGGGTTGCAAGCGCTTTCGACCTAAAAGGTCATCAGGCAAAAAATTTTTTGTAAGTGAGTAGGTAGGTAGGTAAAATCTGCAATAATAATTTAGGATAACAAAACGTTTTTATAGAAATGCTAGGTGTCTTACCACTATGTGTCCACATAAAAAATTAAATATGTTGAATTAAAATTTTAAATTGTAAAAATTGTTGTAAAAATTATATAAATTGGCACGTACTACATCCCTTATTCGAGGTTGGATATTGTTCAATCTTGAACCTCGCCTGCCTCCATCTAATGAAGGTGGTTATAAAAGATAATATCAAATTTAAAGTTCCACATGTGTGCTTAAGGCACCATGTGAAAAATGTAACTTTTAAAAAAATACCGTTACTCCCCCTATCCCCAGTACAAATGGGGTAGACGGAGTTTCGGACCTCTTTGAGATATGGATAATATTTGGAATTTACGTCATGCTAGTCAAGCTACAATTATCCACAACTACCAAGACACCATGCTTCGTAGGAAAAGAACCATATTGCTAATCTGGTTCTTACAACAATGCAAGAAATACAATGTCACACCAAAATCAGTGTCGCTTCACTCCAACATCAACAATAGAACATCTTACAACTCCTTAAGAGCTACTAGATTTGTTTGGCTTAATCAAGAAATCAAACGCCACTATTCAGACCTTCACATTATTAATGTTAAGGACGGGGTATCCCTGTGTATTAAAAGTGTATGTGTAGACCAAAAGTTAAATCGACAGTTTTCCGAATATGTAGTGTTTAAAAATCTAATTTTTGACCAAATTAAAAATAAAGGTCTAACTTAGGTCACCTTACTATTGAAAATTAATAAATTTATTATTTTCAATAAAAACCAATCGTGTAAAATAACCCCCTTTTATTTCATCTCAAAGGTGCCGTGTAGATTTATTTTAACCTCGATGTCAAACAAATAATAAAAAAAAAATGTAATACGACCTAAGTTCAACCTTTACTTGGAATTTGGTACACTCAGAATATTTAAATATTGTATATTTTTCAAAACGTGTAGATTTGAAATTTATAAGTCACTTTCTTTGAAAAAACATGTCAAAACGAATTTGGACCAAAAATGGCGTCTAATTTAACTCTAAATAAACCCCGAGAAATCAATAATTACTTCATGTAATGTAATAAAGATGGTGCTCCGATCGATAATATTTTGACTAGTATTTGATTATTTCCGTTTATATTATGTGTGTTTACGGGGGATAAACGAGATGATAATACTGCCTCTGATACTGTTTATATGATACAATTGGAAACGACCTTTTTTCATCGGCACTCTTTTTTCGCCGGTGACCTTTTGACACGCGCCTATTTGTTATGTTATGATTATCGGTTATTTATCAACTAAAAGTATAGGAAATTAGTACATTGTGAATGATATCATTTTAATGCTATTTTTGAAACTAATTCAAAAGTTGAATTTAACGATACTCAATGTTTCATTTTATCGTCAATTTTAGTTTGACATATCCGTCATTTTAAGTTTACAAAGCTCAGTTTCTATTCGAAAGTAAGAGAAACAGTCAAAATAAAATGCGAAAAACACTTTTTATCAATTTCGTTTATGTCAACTGAAAGCGACAATTGCTGAAGACGTAACAAATAAATTAGGTCAAGAAATAAAAAAATCTATACTATAAGTAACATACCATATATTATACCTGTTAAAATAAATCAAAAATAAAAGAACGTATCGTTGACGTATATACTTTTCCATCTGTGATTAGTGATTACCAATTGCAAATTACGTATGAACATGCTTATGCGCAAAAAACCATTATTTCAAGTACTTGTATGATTAAAGTCCATTAAATTATTATTTTTATAAATTTGCTAATCTTTGCACTTTAATTTTCATTATATGGGGTATCCAGACATTTTAATCCTCGTCCTCTTCTATTTAAAATTATCTCAGGTGCCATATATTCCGAGTAAAATTTTTCTAATTTTTCAACCATATTTTTAAAAAAAAAAATGGGTTGAAAATTAATTTTTTCAACAAATAGTGGATTTTCATCTCCAGTATATACTACAAAGTAGCACAATTTTCTTGGAGCTATACCTAGCTGTCCTTGAATCTAAAAGTATATAAAATCATTATTAGAAAATCAAACATAAAAAAAAATATTAATATTGTAGTATCATTTCTAGCACATTTCTTAAAAATCATGAATTATTTTAACATATTGAAATTTTTCACCTGGTAAAAGTAGTTATGGTTTTCTTTTAAATGAATGTCACCATCTTCTATTTTTAAGCATGGAAATGGGTTTGAATATTAGGTAATGTGCGCCAATAATGTCAAATTATGACAATTCGCAGAAAACGTCAACTTTTTATTTAGATTTTAATGTGCAAAAGCCTACCTACTTTGGATATTAATCGTAGAAAAAATATATTCAGAATAATGAAACATTATTATTAAATAACAAGTTTTTTTATTGTCAATTTAATACGTAATATTATTTTTTAATTGCAAATATTTGAATGTTAAAATTATAGCGTTTAATTTTTTTATTCAATGACGAACTCGAGAGTGATAGAAAAAAAATACTACCTACCTTTAATGCAGGAAGTCGATGTCAATTTATCCAAAAATAAAACTGATTAAAATGTACACTAGGACACTTGGCACAAATAAATAAATTTTCTATTAAAGAAAATAACACTTATTAAAAAC